AACCAACCAACCAACTAACCAGTCAACCAACATAACAACTAAACCAACTAACAATTAACCAACTAAAAAACCAACCAACCATTAACCAACTAAAAAACCAACCAACCAAACAATCAACCAACTAACCAACTAGCCAAACAATCAACCAGCTAAAAAACCAACAAGCCAAACAATCAACCAGCTAAAAAACCAGCAAGCCAGCTAACTATCCATCGAAACAAACAATCGTCTATAACTAACTTGTTCTTCAGCAAGTACATTTCTTTCATTTGTTCGACGCATGTACCCTTCGTTGAGATGTTCCTCTCATTTATCACAATCTCACCAAGACCGCTCTGGTAGTAGCGACCCTTCCAACTGCTCTGAAATCGACAGCCTCTTCCCAATGCTGCAAATAAAACGTGAAAAAAAATAATTTTTTTGGTGGTTCATTGAAAAAAGGAATAATTGCGAAAACATTTAAGTTAGTAAAAAACAAGCAGACAATGATGAGGCAAACACAAGATTTAACGAAAAATTAGAAATCATTTACTGTAGCATAGCAGGACGTATATTGCTAGAGAGCTTGCGAATAGGAAGTTGTTTTCTCTGAGAGATGCAATTAAAATGTACGTGATGTACGTAATGGCTATCAGAAAGAAACAGATTTTAAAGATTATGTATAAAATATCGAGATGTGAATGTTAATATTTTTATTACACATTCTTCGCAAACACTCCAAACGTCTGAATATCCATTTGCAAAATTTTCTGGATTGTAGCAATAAAGCAATGTTTTAAATATATTACAAAAATTTTTTAACATTTTTAACAACAAAGAAAGATTAAATCCACTCTATTGAGTCGGTGACAAAAACTATCGAATGCATATTATCTCTTCTAAATTTTCAGCAGTTGAAATTTTGTTTCAGCCTATCATTGATGTCTTAATGGCTGCAATGACGACAGATGAAGTTATCAACTGAACTGTTGTACTGATATGAAACAGGTGATATAAATTAGATAGATAGATAGATAGATAGATAGATAGATAGATAGATAGATAGATAGATAGATAGATAGATAGATAGATAGATAGATAGATAGATAGATAGATAGATAGATAGATAGATAGATAGATAGATAGATAGATAGATAGATAGATAGATAGATAGATAGATAGATAGATAGATAGATAGATAGATAGATAGATAGATAGATAGATAGATAGATAGATAGATAGATAGATAGATAGATAGATAGATAGATAGATAGATAGATAGATAGATAGATAGATAGATAGATAGATAGATAGATAGATAGATAGATAGATAGATAGATAGATAGATAGATAGATAGATAGATAGATAGATAGATAGATAGATAGATAGATAGATAGATAGATAGATAGATAGATAGATAGATAGATAGATAGATAGATAGATAGATAGATAGATAGATAGATAGATAGATAGATAGATAGATAGATAGATAGAACGGACAGACAGACAAACAGACAGACAGAGAGAGAGACAGATAAATTGATAGATAGATAGATGATATACATCGAGGCACCAGCAACCAACCGGCATACAGACAATCGTGGAGGATGAACAATAGGAATGTTGGTTACTTGGATACAGCGCATATATGCGGCTACACTGTAAGACAATGAATGCCTCGTTAATTTTCGGTTTGTTTGTGTTTAATACCGATGTGATAACAATTGTAACATGAAAATTATTTCAACCTTACGCAAACGTAATTTTGTTCACATTTTAACAAAAAAAATTTAAAGAAACAAGGAACAATTAAAAAAAATTATAATTTGAAATATTATTATAGTTTTATGAGAAAGCACAATTAAATACGTTTGTCAGTCACAAGCACATAAACGCACGCACGCACATACACGTACGCACACGTCAATGCACACACAAACGCACATGCACAAACACAACAACCCACAAACATACAGACACGCACACACAGATACACTCAGACGAAGACATGGCGGCAAATGCATTTGTACGTTGTATTTATAGCGGCACACATGCCTTCGCACACTTATTACCGGCGCTCTCGAAAAGACCAGTCATATTTTCTCGTTAGGCCGACCAAATGGAAAGCTCCATTTAGAATATGTAATATAAAACGCAACGACACATAAATATGAAAAAAATCAACAACAAACAAATTCATTACTGTTTCGGGCGGATGACAGAATTTGCCTTTCAATCCCTTTCAAATATTGCGGAAATATTTCTATCTTTTTACCATAGTTTGCTTGCAAATTTCTGTGCAATGTAGGTTTAACATTTTTTATACTTTTGCTCCTATAATTCATCAATTTTGCTTATAGCAATATTAATGTGATAAATTACAGGAAAACATTTGTGCACAGTTTGGAAGTTTGGATAATTTTTGTATTATTGTGAGCTTTTGTGCTATCAAGAGACAAGGAGAGTGCAACAAATCTTGTAGTAGCCTTCAAATATGACAGGCATTTACTTAACGCTGATATTAAGATTTATTGCAGCATCTGCAACAGTAGAACCATCGCCTTCTTTCATTCTAGGTCCGCCACAAACTAAATATCAACAACAGAATCGACAAAAAATAATATTAACGCAAAAAGAACGATGTAAAATAACACACGCAGCAATGTTGAACGACCAGCAACAGCATATAACAAATTATAATTTAGTATCAAACAAAACATCAAAATGTGAAAACTTTAAAACACAACAAGAACAACAACAGATTCGACATTTTTTTTCAACAGACATTCAGAAGAAAAACCACAACACGGTGGCCGATAAATGAAATTTCCATCACTTATCGAATTTATAGGACGAGCAGAAAAAGATAATATTGAATGTAAACGATGGAGTGGAGGCAACGCACTTGTTAGCTCAGAAGCTCTGTCAATTAATGAAACTATTCCACAATGGAAAAGCATCGCTACAGCAGCAGCAACCTCGATACAAACTACAGAAAGTATGCGCTATACATATTTCACTGCCAGCCACGAAAATACAGTATTACGATAAACAACAACAACATTAGCAAAAGCTATGAACAAAGAACAAATATATAACAACAAATGATAACATCCATAAAACTGTTTTGCTTAGAATTAGAAAATGAGTGTGTTACAAACAACCACATCAATATAAAGTTGATTAGAAACATTCAAGCCGACATTTTTATGATCAACAAAAAAAACATCTCAAAAGTGAATAACAGAAAATTTATGGCCTAAGTTTAGAATAACAATATAAATAACAACAACATCTACAATAAAAAAAATTATTTTCATGAGAAACACAACAAAAACAACCCCAACAACAAAAACACAACAATGACACAACACCATCAACCACAACAGCCACATCAAGAACAACAACAAATACAACAGCACAAGCAGTAGCAGCATTTAAAAATATTATGTACTTTTGCAAAGGTCAGGCGCCGGTAGGGACCATACACATGTCTTCTATGAGACCAACCAAGCGCAAAAACTGGACGGGTCATGAACTCTCTATATATTTTCAACTGTTTATTTCCTAGTAATCATATTTACGCATATATACACACACAAACTTTCCACACACAAACACACACACACTCTTACACACAAATCACAGGTTATTGGTGTACATGGAAATGTGTACGTATATTTCAATTTGTTGTTGGAGTGTTAATTCTTCAAAAAATTAGATTTTATTTATAAATTGTGGAAAATATATAAATTATAATTATTTTTTCATGGAAATAAACGTGATGAACAAATTTTATTCTGTTTTGCATGTAAAATTTGGCCTAATGTTCACGCCTGATTACATTCCAGTGAATGAGAGTTCTGAGACGAATGTTGTCTGTCTGGGTGTTTGTTGCGCCTTACAAAGCATCTCAAAATATTTCGGCTATTTTTATGATAAATGTGTTTTCCATGTTTTGAAGCTATGAAATATTAAATTATAAAACTATTAACTATTAATATTTTACACATTTTTCCAAATAATTCTTCATTTTCGCAATCATTAAAAAGCAATGGAAACAAGCAACACACATTTGTTTACGTTCCGTGTGATGAATATGTTTGAAAATAATCAAGACAGCAATCAATTATACCGTGTAAAATAACGTACACAAGTGTATGTGGGTATAATACAACAGGCAAAAGTACACGGATGGTATATCTTATATATACAACTATATATACACATAGATTTTAGATTACAATAAATATTTGTTTACACAAGTTGGTTACAATATAGAGATCTACTTATGAGAACGTTTGATGGATGGGATGCCCTATTGACTGAATCCCAAATTGATTTCCGTGTTCTTCAATTGTCATAGCACTCTGCCTAGTTGTGCTGTTGTGGCGTTATGTTGCTGTTGTTGTGATATGTTGCCGGGCGCCGTGTGTTGTTGGGCTCTTGTCGGGTGTTGTTAAATTTCTGTAGTTGTTGTGTGGTCTTGTATTATTGTGTAGAGTTGTTGTTGCGTCAATGTTAGGCAGTTGAGTGGTTGCTGTGAGGTTGCTGTGTGGTTGCTCTGCAGTTGTTGTGTGGTTGCCGTGCGGTTGCTGTGTTGTTGTTAAGCAATCGTGTTGTTGCTGTGTGGTTGAAAAGCAGTTGCAGTGTTGATACTATTGCTTATTTAATGTCACGATTTATGATCTGCTTATCATTGTTTATATTCGTATTGATATTTATATTATTTATTTTGCATTCTTGATTACCCTTAAACAGATGAATTTTATGGTCTTTGTTGTTTGTGTTGTTCATTGCGAGTATCGAATTGCTAAATTTGTTTTCATTTGAAAATGTTATCGTGAAACATTTCCAAGTTTCGCTGAACTCAAAAAAACTTGAAAAATCATTAGTTTAATTTTCAAGACAAAACATTCGATTGATTAAAATACAATCCAAGTATAAAACCCGACGACATACCGATAAAATTGGCAACCGTGACAGAATAGAAATCGATACGATTGGGACATCTGCAGGGATGGTCTGCATGTGGGATATCGGTTTTGTGTGCCTGATGTGGGATGCTCCTATCGACAAAGCGATTTGTTACTCGTTATTAAAAAATTTTTCACCATCAGATGCGATTGTTTTTTTTTTCGTTCTGATACGATTGTTGCTGAGACTTTATCAGGTTGTTGTTGGTTTTGTCGTTGCTGAAAATTAATATTGATTACGATGCATTGGCTTTGTATTGATTTTTGTTAAAAAATAAATTGTTATAGTTTGCAATGATTGTAATAACTACGAAAGAAAATGTAGTAACTTATTTTTCAATTTATTTTTAAAGCTGCTTCAAAGTTTTTATTTACTGTAAAGAAGACTGATTTATAACAATCACTAAAACACTTCAGGCCATTTTAATATGCATTTGAACTATTTTTCAAAAAATTTTGATATCATTAAAATGCACGATATGTGTACAAGTGTAGCTTATAAATTTTCGTAATTTTAATGTTCCGTATCTTTAGTAGGTTTGTATATTTTATGTTTCTTTGTATTTATACTATCTTTGAATCTCATGCTAGGGATAGTCTCAATTATAAGTAAAGAAGAACAAAAGATCATGAATATGAGCACGATAACTATCGTCTGCATGATTTATTTCATCATCTATCGATTATTAATCTTTGGATAACTTTTGTTTACATGGCTGCGGTTGTTTCGACGATGCTCCAGTGGTGTTCGTGTAGCGTTGATGTTGTTGTAATACTGTGAGGATCCTGGTTACATTGTACAGTGTCATTTGATGATCAAGTGTTTGGCTTACGATATATACGTTAAATAACCCATTTATGTTTGGACAACGTGATTTTTTTCAACCTGGAATAAAATTGCATGGCTTACCACGAGAGTCCAAGTTAAAATTAATGGCAAGTTATTTTTGTGGAAAATAAGGTTTAAAAATAATTTTGTAATCATTGAGAAAATGACTGTTATTCGTTTGTGAAAAAAAAGGCAACGTTAAAGACCATTAATAAAACTCAATTGAATTTCAATAATATCTGCCGTCACACACATGAACTCGAATTGTTTAGCAGCATTAAAGAATGAGATCTTTAATCTGTTCATTCAAATTCAACTTTTAGAATTTATATGAAATAGTAACCTAGAATTTTTGTATCTAGGCGTTTAATGTTTATTTACAACACGGCTAATTGAACATTATCTACCATCGTTGAATGTGTGATTCTCGCTATCTGGCAATCGATAAACTCTAATTCATTTGCAATGCAAACACGCTGAATGGTACATATATTAATGTCATATAGTTAATCTCTCTGAAAATCTATATAATTTTTATATTTATAAAAATTTTATCATTGGAAAATATCATTCCTTTAATTAATGTTTAGAAAAAACAAGATTAAAAACCATGTACAAATAGTCGGGCTTGCTGCTTGGGAACAATTAACTGCCCTCCTACACGCATGCTATAAAAATTCTGCAACACATTATCATCACTGCTACCGTCATCATCTTCGTCGTCGTCATCATCATCGTCATCCTATTCATCATCGTCACTAACGTCATCATCATCGTTGTCGTCGTCATCATCGTCGTCGTCCCACCCACAATCATCATCGCCATCATCATCGTTCATCATTATCGTCATCATCGTCACCAGCGTCATCGCTACAAGAAGTTCGTTGTCACCATCCTCATAATCGTCATCTTCCTTGTCCTCTATAACACCGTTTTTCTCATCATTAATATTCGCGTCGTCATCAACAGCTTAGTCATTATATTATTATCATCTTCATTATTATAATTATTATCATTATCATCGTCAGGTCTCTTATCGTCTTTTCATTATTTTCAGCTGAAATATGCAGCGTCTCACAGAAACATGTTACGCGCCATTCAAAAAGAACGAACGTAGAAACACGTGATATTCATGCCATATCAGAGTTACATCTACATGCATGCATGAACAGCAAAACAAACCAATACACGTTGAAACTTCTACAATTCATACAAAAACATCTACACATAGAGAAGAGTACAAAATAAAAAAAACAGGGACATATAGAGAGATGATCATTTTAAAAAGATCCTTGATGTGCATTGATTGATTGGCCGAGCACCTGAACAGGTAGAAATCTCTGGTTCCGGTTTAAGTTATGAAGAAGCGAGGTTGAACGATTCCTCTCATGCATATATGCATGTGTGCGTAATGAATGAAGGCGACAGCTCTTTTTGATTGATTGCTTTGCTGTTCCATGGATCGATTGCTGCTGACTGATCGGCTGATTGATTCATTACTTCATTGAAAGTTTGGCTTTTGACTGATAGTTTTTGCCTCTCATATTTTTTTTATTAACAATTTCAAGAAAAATTTCAAAATTAAGACCTGGAAAACAGTACATATTATAATTTTGTTCATCATTAAATTGTTACTCAAAGTAATTTGAACAAAAAATGATTCGTTCTAATTTGAATGTCCAGTTTTCTTGCCAACATTTTTCAATGTGAAAAACGTTGACACACCTGCAGTTCTCGAAACAACCGAGCTTCTTTTGTTTCAGTCAATTGGAAAAAAAAGTGAAAAACTATTTAGAATTCATGGCAAGTTTAAAAACAAACAAACGAACAGATGAACAAACAGACAAACAAACAGGCAAACAAAGAAACAAATATGGAACATTGGAAACATCGAACAGTCGGGTTACAATGTTCAAAACATAGCAAACGCAAACGTACAAAAACAAAGAAAGTAAGATGAGCGATAATTAATGCGATTGGCGCCAGAATGTCTCGTTCGATAAAAATGTTTTCGATTCTTTGCTACATTTTCTATGGTCTGCTTCCGTTTAGGTTTGTATGTCTCGTTACGTTTGCGCCGTTGGGTTGCGTGTGTGCACGCGTGTAAAGGGATATTAAATATTAATCTATTCATATCGAGGACCTAGGTATAAATGTATTGGCATATTTTAATTAATTAATAAATATGTGTTAAGAATGGCGTGTTGTCTGTCACTTGTGTATGTTTATTTCATTCATACATTTTTTGAGTGCTTTTTTTAGTTAAAATGAACTGGAAATTATAATTTGTGGAGGCCTCCATTGAAACGTGGAAGATGTATCGCGTGAATAGGAGTACGCACACCAGACTGCTGCATTGTGCATTCCATGTTTGTTCGTTCGTTCGTTCGTTTGTTTTGTTCGTTTGTTTTGTTTGCGAAATGTCTAATGAGGCAAGTGAATAATTGCATGTGAAAACAACTGCTTCATACATCTTCATGCAACATTTTTAAACATTTGAGTGAAGATCATCATTATCATCGTTTGCTCATAATTATCACCATCATCATTCCGGTTTTTCCACCTCATTACTATCATCACGTTATTTAATTTGTATCAACATCATCAACATTGTTGTTTTATTTGTCATATTTTGTTGTTGTAGGAGCTTCTTGTGTGTGCGTGCGTGTGTTTTTGCGTATGTGCGTATGCCTAAGTGCATATGTGTATGTGTGCGCGTGTGAATGTGTGCGTGTGTGAATTTTTAGATGGGTTGTTTACCAGCAGAATTTATCGACTGTTTTATCTGAGTTTATTTGGCTTTGATTCATATATAAACGTCTTTGCTGTCCGTCATTCAATTACATATATAAAACTTCATTAATCAGAAAATATTTTCAGTTCACAACATAAATGCAATTTTTTTTCATAACAAAAAATAAATGAATTAAAAAATATAATAATAAAAAAATTGATGAAATAATAAGCAAAGTAATAATAGTAATTGAGACGGGATGTAAAAATTATAAATGTAAACGTCAGAATTAACGCAATTATATCTTTCCACGTTCATAAATTATTCAGAAATTTGTGGTTCAGAGCATTTCGTAATTTGATGTGAGTAGGCAAGGGAGAAAAGGGCAGCAGAGCCAAAAAACATAACTCCAGTGATATTTCATTATAACGCAAACATGACCAAATCAATGGTTCCGCCATAGAGGTTGACATATTAATTAAGATAATATAAATTATTCAGAGGGAAACGATTGCCAAAGGTTAGTCTAGTTGGTGTAAAATGTGGATTTATACTACCGTGAAGATGTTGTATGCTTTATTGTTTGTGAAGGAGTGTGGTTTTCGTTGGTAAATTTTGTGTTGTTGATGTTGGTATTTTGTAAACGATGATGGTGGGAATGTTGTTGTTTGGAGAGTTGTGTTGTTTGTGTTTCCGCTTTATTTGTTTTCGTTAGTGAATGCCTCAATTTTTTATACTTTTAAATGTTTTTTGAATGATACTTGCTCAGGTGGATGGTTAATAAACACTTCGCACATTCAAAACTGACCCACTAAAAATATTTGAAAAAAAAAGACCACATTCGTATAAATAGGAACATTAATAGCAGTGAAGATGGTTTTTGTTAAAAAATATTTTAACGCTTCTTTAATGATTCTTCTGAAAAGATATTTCAAATAAGAGATTAATATGTTCTCGTGTTTATAAACAACTCAGTCTTATCATATAAACGGTAAAGCTAAATTATTTTTAATCACATCAAAACAAGTGGAAATTTATTTATAAACTAAATCAAACAATTCCATATCAAACAACCACTGTCACACGTAAGAAAACATTTTTTCGATCACCTCAAAAACAATTAAACAAACACGAACGTAATCTGGAAATAATCCTTGTTAAAACAAAACACCGTCTTCATTCTTTACAGTTGAGTGCACCACAAAATAAAAATAATTCTCTACTATTGATTGATGTTTTTTCAGGCAAGCAGGCATTCAAGTGCACATCGTTTCAACTGGAAGAGAACCAAACAACCCCTTCGTGTTTGCATTACGCTGAGTAAGAATACTTTTTTACGTGTAATCCACATATCCATGTTTGTATGAATATCATTATCCATGTATTCATTTCCATTTATGTTTATCACTATCCGTGTATTTTTATCTATGTATGTATATCATTATTCATGCATTTATATCGTTATTCATCTATGTATGCGTGCATACCTAAATACCAAAAAATATGCATGTGCATTACACACGTGTTTATCCTACATGTAACCTAAATTGTAAACATGTAGTGAATTGTGAAAAAAAGAAAACCTTTTATAGAAACGTGGAGCACTGTTGGAAATTTTTGGGAGTGTTTAATTTTTTTCCACCTACTGATAAATCTACGTTAATGATACTAACTGTTCTTGAATATAATGATGATGATAGCAATTAAAATGTTCTGAATGTAATGTCAAATTGAAGAATCAATTTTATATAAAAAAAATGAATAAAAAAAACTGAAACAACCTAACAGACTCAATAAAAACAAAATTCAATCCGCTACAATTGCTATAAAATAACGGTAAGAAAGTTGTAAGCGCTGACTTCAAAAGGCAGCAACATGGAGGTTATACAACAAAAACAATAACTACAAAATATTGATGTAACACTTTAACGCTCGTAACAACCGACACCGATGCTATAATTTAAAAGATCTCTATATTTCCAGCACCAGTGTTGTAGCTTCCAACGATCGTCAAGTTATCGTTATTCTGTAGGTTCAAGATTTCCGATAGATGAACGCAACTGCTTCAAACGCAAACTTGGTTGAATGTTTATTCGAATGCCAACAGCAATAAAAACACTAAACTAATCCAAGCAGCTACATAAATCACATTTACAGCTTCGCTTCAAATCTCGCTTCAAACCTAGCTACTCCTGCCCCTTATATACCCTCCACGGTAGATTTTACATCCTCTATGGTATGAAAAGTTTCTATGGTTTATGAATAGCGAAGATAACAAGTATAACAAGGTAACAATAATTAATTATATAGTGTCCATTCACGCAGTTATAACAATATCAACATACCAACACCAACAACGACAACGACAACAAAGCAACACTAAAATTAATTATACTGCAAATGAATAAAACGATGATAACACCAACCAAAACACCAACTATAACCCCTAATTTCAAAAATAATTTTATCAAATAAAGCAACACGTCAAAATTCAACTACAACATCCGTAGCAACAACGGCAACAACAAAATTGCAATAGGCAGTAGTAGCATTTGCAGCAACCACAACCACGGCAAAACATTAAGGCCGCAAAACAAGTCTAGAATAACAACATCGGCAAGAAAACAGGAAAGTAAAGCGAGAAAAAGTGCTTCGCCAGAGTAAATAATGGACTGATTTATTAGGTGTCTTTGGTTACATTCATCGTTGCCATGGTGACATCGTTTGGTTCGTGTGCGTGGATGTACAAACGCGCGTACAAGTTCGCGTACGCCAGCTTCAGAGGGTTGTGCATGTTCCATCCGAGCTTGTCTTTGTGGTGTTTTTTTTTCCAAGCGGTTATATTTATTCAACGTTCGTATGCACAGTTTGTTTCAACTTATTTTTTGTTAAAATTTGAGTGTAAATTTGGCTTTCGATAAAACATCAGATGCTTTAAAATGGCGAGTTTTACACAAGGTAGTTAGAATAAGGTAGGTAACGTAAAAGTAATTGATGGTGGTTACCAGAGTTTTGTACTTCCGGAATATTTGTTAGATGTTTATTTTGAGTCTAAATTGTTGAATTGCCAGCTCCAAAATGTTCCATCGCGCGTAAAGTTATCCATAATATGTGCGTGTGTGAGTGTGTGAACGTGAATTTGGGTGTGCTTGTGTGTGTGTGTATCTGTGTGTGTGTTGTCACAAAACGCCTTACCCAAAGAGTATACAATTAAAGTGCTATAAATGTTTTTCTCCGTCTGACCTAGTTGTATCTGGAAAAATAAAATCTATGATTATCTGTTTGGCGATGCATTAATTTCATTCACAAATTTATAACATTACCAGTAACATTATCATAAACCTATTTGAAGCGGGCAATGAAATGTTAATAAACACAGCCAACACCAATTTTAATTCAAGTTAACCATCAAGATATAATAACATCCATCTGGCACGTGAACATATTTTAAAAAGGCGCGGAAAAAGAATTACCCATCAGTGTAGGTACGTTCCACATTGACCCAATTTTTATTGCGCTACTAAATAATACTTTACATCATGTAACATTTGACTGGCGAACATATGCTGCCTATTACCATGCAAAAGTTTTGTTGTTTCTCTTTCTTTTGCACTCTCTTTATCTTTCCCGCTCTTTCTTTTTCTTTCCCTTTTTTGCTGAGGTGTGATGCAAATTATTTTTTTGAATCTACAATTCTCTATCGTGACAACTATCTTCTGTGGTGTTGCCTGATTCATTCATGTTTCTCTAAAGGCCAAAATTATTTGTGTTTTGTATTTCATATATTCGTGTGTAATTGTATGATATTTGGGTGGTAACTTAACGAATTTATCCATGTGTATTATATACAAAATGGTTTTTCAAGCAGTAAATATTTTTCAATTTAGTTTTTTGAAATAATTAAATCGAAAATCAATAAATTCATAAAAACTTTTTAAAATTATATTTTAAGATTTATCCACAATTTTCAATGTTTTGTTAATATTTATTCATTTGTTAGACTTTGAAAAATTTAACTTTTCGTTCATAAAAACTCTTCAGTTTTAGCCACACCTTGAATTATTTTTAGATTTATATATCTTGAGGTGACAGTGCAAAAAGTCATTCAAACTTATAAAATAAACATAAGAAAAAAATGCAATTAAGTGTTTAAAATGTTTGTTTTCATGCGACAAACTTTTCTGAATGTTGTTGCTTTTGTTTTTAGTTTGTCTGTTTTGTGAAATATGCAATGGTGGTTGTTCAAAGTGCGGAAAATGACTTTAAAGAAAAAACTTTCAGGTGTTTGTTTGTCTTTGTTGCTGCAGTTCTTTATCCAAAAGTTGGGGCTTCTCAAATTTATAAACTTTTTTTTTACTGCTCTGTTGAAGAATTGTTGAATTGTGACTGTTGTTGTTAATGAGTTAGATTGAGTTTGATGTCTTTTGAATGCATTGGTGAGTGTAGAGATTGTGACTGCAGTACCTGGTGTCGGCTGCAGTGACTACATTTGGTGCTGCCGCCAAAGAAATTGCAGCACGTCGGTTATTATTTTTGCAGATTTGATTGGCTAACATCGTATAGGCCTATCCTTTGATAAGGAAATCTAATTAGGAAATAATGTGGTCGTGAGGCTTTCGACAGAGTAAAACCGGTATTAGTGTTGTTGTTGTTGTTGTTGTTGTTGTTGTTGTTGTTGTTGTGAGGTCTTGTTCGGATGAAGTTGTTGTGTTCGTTGTGATACATTTTATGTTATGTAGCGTTATTTTTGTAAGGCCAATGTTATACTATGCAGTTTTATTTTTATATCTCTTAATTGATATGTATTAAAATACTTGTATCCATCCTTCCTTCATGATTGATTGCGATATTGGATGCACTTTCTGTGTTTCTCTCGTTGTTCATACATAAGTTACACATGTTTTCAAAAATTTACGCTACGAACAAATTGCCAAATTTATATTATAAAATTTTTAATAATCAAAATTTTTAATTTGAAACACTGAACAGTTTTCAATGTCGGATGACTTTACGCAGATAAATAAATTAAATCAAGGAAATTAATAACATAAAAAGGGAAAAAAAGAGAAAAAAACGCAGTAGTTAATAACAAACAGACGATCAACATTGTTGTTATGTTGCTGATTTCTCATCATCATCGTCAACATCATCATCCTCATCATCTTCATCAACATCGGCATTTACTGGATTAACAACATAACAAATGTTTTTCACTGGCTCCACTATGAACATTAATGTGAAAGATAGAACTGTTTGAACGACATCAGCAGCAACAACATCAACAACAAACGCAAAAACTACTACTACATCAACAACAGCATCAACAGAAAGAGCAAAAAACCAGCAAAAACCAAAAGCAGCTAGCATTTGCACGCCACGCTTGAATTACGATGCATATTCAGTACGTGTATTACAATTATACAACATTCTTGACCCTAAGGGTTCATGATTTACGTGGATGCTTACAAATGTGCATGTTTGTTTGTTTGTATGTATGTGCATGTTTGTATTTATGTATGTTCATGTTCAATTGTTTGTATGTATGTAGGTTTGTGATTACGTTTCAAGTATATGTATAAGGTTTTGCATGTTTATATGTACTATTATAGTAAAAACGCTTTCAAATTTCTAGCATATTGTTGATAGGTTTTATTATTTTATGTATTTTTAATTGTAATTTATTCGAAAAGACATGTTTATTTGAATTAAACGGCATGTTATTAGAGGTTCTGTATTGTGTTACGTACGTGAAATATATATTGTGCCGTCTTGAACGGGTTTTGTAGGCAGTTGTTTTGTCACAGGTGAATGCTTCTAAGCTTTTGGGTAAATGAATATACCAGCTTTACTATTAAAAAATTCTTTTTTTTTGTAAATTCTTTGTATTTTATTTTATTTTAAAGTAAAAATATATAAAGATTAGTTTTTGTTTTTCAAAAACATTGACCTATAAATGTTCTTCGTGAATGCTGGAATATTTATTAGATGATTAGCATGCGTCCGAACAATTGTCTCCAATGACTGAAAACCCTACAAGTCAAAAACACGCAAGGAACGTAATATAACGGTACGTTATAAATAAGATGTTAGAACGTAATAACGTTATAAATAATATGCAGTACACGGGAAAAAATCGGCCCGTATAAATATTGACGTAGTGTAATTGTCTTGCTATTGAACCGGCTTTCAAGATACATGAAGATTTGTGGCACCAACGTTACTGCTACTGTTTTTGATGTTATTTCTTTTACTGCCACTGATGCCGTAGATGTTTTTTTACTACCATTGATGTCGTTGATGTTATTAATGATGTTAATGTT